GATTTACTGGGAAGAAACCAATTTTATGGAACTTGGAAGTTGGAACACTAATCCATCTCAATCAATGGCAAAAAAAAAAAAAAAAAAAAAAAAACACATGCATTTAGCTCACAATTTTCTAGATAAAAGCCCCGATATCCTGATTCTTGTTTTAGCTGATTGCCTGATCCCTTGTTGACTAGCATATCTAGATTTGTAGCTCTCTAATTCTAGAACTCAAAAGCCTTCAGTTGCCACACTTATTGTTGCACTATTTGAATTATTTATTACACAACGACTTGGTGGAGACATTATAGGCAAGTGCGAAACATGTGAGTCATGTTTTGGCCCGATTACCCCTCAATCTGAGGTAATGGTGTGATTTGTTAAATAGTCCGGTGACCCACAATTCATTTAGCATTGGTTGCCCTTGCATAATAATATTGCATCTCGAAGCCATTGAGAATGTAAACAAATATGTACTATTAGGGTCATGCATTCCCGTGAAGGAAACTGTAGCATAATACAAGTATCATTAGTCTTTTGCATAATTAGTGTTGGTAAGTAGTAACACAACCCCCCTCCCCACCTCCTTAGGTGAATTTCCATTGGAGTATCCAATAAAATTTTCTTGTGTTTTTCAACTATTTTGAAACTATACTCTCCTACTTGCTTACCGTGATACAACTATACAAGTCCAATTAACAATATAATAACCACCTTCCACCACCCAAAACCCTTAAGATGAAAATACTCACCGTGATACAAGTCCAAAGTAAGGGTGATACGGGTGGTGGAAAGAGAGTTTTATACTTCTTGTTAGTGGTTCATCTTTTGATTTAGGTCTAAGCGCTTTACATTTCCTAGGATATATTAAGATGGTTAGGAAAGGGTGGTGTTATCACAAAATGTGTTGTCTTACCTTTGTTTAGCCTTTTTTGGCATCATGATTTTCATATCTTATCTTCCCTTTTTCAATTATTATTGGGGTATCACATTTGATTTTTCCCATCTTGGTTCCCTAATTCTTTCAAAAGGTGATGGAAAGAGAGTTTTGTACTTCTTAGTGGGTCATCTTTTAGGATATATAAAGATGTTTAGTAAAGGGTGTTGTTGTGACGAAATGTGTTGCTTTACCTTTGTTTAGCCTGAGGAGCATCATGATTTTCATATCTTATCTTCCCTTTTCTCAATTATTATTGGAGTATCACATTTAATTTTTTCAATATTGGCTCTTTAATCCTTTTCATATCTTATCTTCTCTTTTCTCAAATTTAATTTTTCTATATTGGCTCTCTAATCCTTTTCATATCTTATCTTTCCTTTTCTCAATTATTATTGAAATATCACATTTGATTTTTTCCACATTGGCTCTCTACATATCTTATCTTTCCTTTTCTCAATTATTATAGGAGTATCACATTTGATATCTTATCTTTCCTTTTCTTAATTATTATAGGAGTATCACATTTGATTTTTACTATATTGGCTCTCTAATCCTTTTCATATCTTATTTTCCCTTTTTCAATTATTATTAGAGTATCACATTTGATTTTTTTCCATATTGTCTCTCTAATATGGTCCGATGAAGGTGGTGGAAAGAGTGTTTATACTTCTTGTTAATGATTAATCTTTTAATTAGGTTCAAGCGCCTTACTTTTCTTAGGATACACTGTGTTTTATACACTAGTTACCTTTCTTTAGCCTTTTTAACATCATGATCTTCATATCTTATATTTCCTTTTTCTCTCAATTATTATTGGAGTTGGTATATGAGATTACATTTGATTTTTTCCATATTGGTCTCCTAATCCTTGATTTTTTTCATATTGGTCTCCTAATCCTTGATTTTTTCCATATTGTCTCTCTAATATGGTCCGATGAAGGTGGTGGAAAAAGTGTTTTATACTTCTTTTTTAATGATTAATCTTTTAATTAGGTACAAGCGCCTTACTTTTCCTAGGATATATGAAGATGACTAGTTAGCTTTCTTTAGCCTTTTTAGCATCATGATCTTCATATCTTATATTTCCTTATTATTTCAATTATTATTGGAGTTGGTATATGAGATCACATTTGATTTTTTTCATATTGGTCTCCTAATCCTTGATTTTTTCCCCATTTGGTTTCAATTATTGATATTTCACCCAATAATTGGTTCGCCTAATTAGGATTGAGCACAAATATAAGTACTAGTATATTTTCTAGGCGCATCAATAATGACCTTTGAAAAATCATCTTCTCTTTATTCACCCTTAGTATTTCCAATGCAAGAAATTAATATGCAGAATCTCCACCAGGATGATGGTCCCATTTTAAGGTTTGTTTTTTTACATGTACTCATTTTAATTTGATCCTTAGTTCATGTGTTTACTTTCGTGTTATAAATTTTTTTTTTCTTAAGGTATAGTGATTTGCAATCTCACTCTCTTTTTCTTTTGGTAGAGAGTGGAGAGGAAGGGATTTGTATTGGAATTAATGATGTTTGTTTATTTCATTAGACATTGACATGATTGCCAAAATTTCAATATGATTTTACAATAAAAAGATTATTCAATTTATAGAATTGCGAGTTCTCATGATACGTAGTAGAATTTCCCTAAAATCCAGAGCAATAGGGCCATAATATACTTCCACAATCTTTAAACCATATGATATTGTTTTTAACATGTTAACTAATATACTTCCACATAATGTATAGTTTGAAATTACATAATCACTCCGTTTCACTTTAATGGAACACATTAGAATTCTTCTAAAAAGAATTGACCACAAATACAATAATGACCTTGATAACTTATACGAAATGGAATTTTAAGATATAAACATCTAACTATAGCTTTACACGTAATATGAGATAAATAATAATTTAATTTACTACATATGAATAGCGGCTTATTATTTCACGATGTTACGAAATCAAATCCAGGCTATGAAAGTGGGGAGGGGGGAATGAGATACGTGTTTTTCCTTAAAAATATTAATTAAAATTTATTTATCATAAAAAATTTATTTATTGTAATGACATTGTTGGTTTTTATATTTGTGAGACTATTACTACGTATTGAAACTTGGCTCTGATACCACATGTCACGTGTCGGCTATTTCTCTTAGTTATTTTGCTCACGACCTACTAGAATCACCACTCATTAGACTCTAGTCAAGGCTCCTTAAGTTTTTAGCAAGGCTAAGTGATGATGCTTCAAAGTTAAGTGTTGGTAGGTTTAAAGGCACAAGTAAGAAAGTATTTAAGACAGAGATTTCTGGAAGGATGATTTGTATTATGCTTGAGAGAGTTTACAATTGTGTGGATGATCATAAATTTGGGGGGGGGGTATCCTTATAGTCCTCCTTACTACCTAGAACCTTCCTATCTAGAATGTCAACACCTCCTCAAATAGAGGATTCTGCACACTTAAGTCCTAGAGACTTCTACACCATTCTAAGTACATCTCTCTTATGTACAAGATTCTAGAGAATTTTATGCTCCTTCCTTCCCTTATTTACAAGTCTATTTCCCATTTTTCATGAAATTAAGGAACTTAGGGATTCCTTAAAACCCATGATTGGGAAGTATAAATATACATGTGGGGTTAGAGATAGATAGAGAGAAAGAAAAGATAATTAGTAATTATTGAAGGATAGAGAGAGAAAGTGTTGGAAAATGATGTCAAAAGTATGAAAAAATATAAGAAAAATGATGACAACTCATCAAAGGTAGTGGAATATTGTCAAAAAGTACATTATTTAACTAGAAATAGGCATCTAATTTTAAAAACCCAAAAAAGGAATACAAGCTTGTAACTAAGGGACGTGGGAGTACAACTCTAGCTCATAGAATTTGTACAAGATCGCCATAGAAGTTTTAGAAGCTTCTGGACGTCAACCGAACCTCTTAGTGCATGAAAAACCGACTTCACAATGTTCATTGCCCCAAAAACGGTGGATCCCCAAATTTGGGCCCATCTTTTATGTTACTTGGACTTAAGAATCCATGTCCGACATGGGTACGTGTCCAAGCGTCCGACTTGGCTAATCTATGAAAATTTTCATGATTTTGAACTAAAAGTGAAGTGTCCAAGTGACATATTCATGTGGGGCTCGACATGGATACTTGTGGTGAAATTAAGTGTCCCAAAAACGATGGATCCCCAAAATCCAAAATACGGAGTACTTGGTAAAAAATCCAACATCATATACCAATTTTTCCTCTGGAATTGTTTGCTTATGGGTTGGGAATTTTCAAAAATTCAAACTTTGGATAATTTAGCTAATTAAATGCATTTTTTTTAGAAAGCCTGCAAAAATTGACGTGCTATAATTTAAATAAGTATTTGTAGCAATTGTTAATTAAAAAATGGAAGGAATACTACATTTAATAATTAAAAAAAATATATTGTAAAACATCACAGATTATTCACACAGAAGGAAGAAAAATGGAAGGAATACTACGATTGTAAAACATCATAGCAAGGTTTGAACTTGTATCTTTAGTAAATAATCCCACTCCTCTAACCACTACACCATCTCATTTGGCTAACACAATATCGCACACAATTATCTATTTCATCTGACATTTTTTTGGGGAAGTGGGGAGACAGCTGTCCCCTCTTGTCCCATGCTCGCTCCGCCAGTGGTGGTATTAAGGATGGGTCTTGGAGGATTAGATAAAACATGCCTGGATCTATCTTAATTAAGAGCTTTGATATTATACGTGCTATCTTTCTTTGATGTGCATTTTGTTTTTGCGAATTTTTTAAGGTGGAAAACCTTTCTGGTTTAAAGATATGTAGTGCCTTGGGTGAAGAAGTGTACTACTGATGCTGGCTATAATTTAGAACTAATTATGATACTTTTTGGTCAGCATGTACAAGTTGAACAAGGAATCAATATTATAATTTAACAGTTTTTTTAGCTTCTTACCACAACTCTCCAAAACCTCATTCCTTGAATTTGTTACACTTTTTTTTTTAATAACTTCCACCCTCCAAAATTAACACCCACCCCCCCCCCCCAAAAAAAAAAAAAAAAAAAAAACTTTTAATACCTTCCACTTTTACTTTTTTATTCTCGTACACTAGCACAGGTACATTCTAGTAGTAAAACTTGTACAAGCATGCAATAACCTGTCACACTGGTAAAATCTGGCACAGTGGATGACCTAAAACTAGATAGAGAGTTAAATTATTTTCTTTTGGATTTGCTAATCAGTGCAATAGGTGAGGACGAGAGATTTGGAGCTCTAGGGAAGACTGAATATCATGTTGTCTACTACTATTGATTCAAGCCCTTGGACATTGAGGAAGAAGAGAGGAAAGAAAAGGGTCACGAGTGATGGTGGATTTAGGGATTAACATTGTGAGCCCATGTGAAGATAAAACCAGTTCCATGAGCTCATGTAGTATTCGAATATAGAAAAATGGCAAGTTTGGCAATGTGGAACTAGAAACACTCAATATATTGTAGCAGTGTTGATGGTGTTATTGGAGAGAGAGAATGAGGCCAGTGTGTGGGTGTGCGACTGTGCATGCGTGCGTGCATGGTGTGTGTGCGTGTGTGTGTTGTACAATGCCTTTTTAATTGCTTCCATCAATTTCAAGTTCACTACTATTCTTTGATTGACATGTGATTTTTTTTTTCATTGCTATTGTCTTCCATTTCCTTTATTCTACTTGGATGCCTATCAGTTTTATCTGTTCCCTTCATACAAACACTTCTTTATATCCATTATATATTGAGAACTGTGAGCTTATCTCTGATAGATCAAAGAGGAAAAAGGCTGTCTCAAGTGTAGAGAACACCGAGTCTGTAACAGCAGGTATCAAGATCCTACTTTTTGGCTGCTTGATACCAGGATAATATGTATAATCTCTTCAGGATAAAAACATATTATTTCTCTTGCTAATCCTCATCCTCCATCATCAGGTCAGGGCTCAAGTGATGGGAAGAAGGCACTCTATCACTGTAATTATTGCAATAAAGATATTTCAGGATTGATTCGCTTTAAGTGTGCAGTGTGTCCAGATTTTGACCTCTGTGTTGAGTGCTTTTCTGTTGGTGCTGAGGTTAATCCTCACAAAAGCAACCATCCATATAGGGTTATGGTAAAAGATATATATATTTTTTATTATTATTTATTTTGTTTTTGCTTCGTATATACTTCGTAGTTTTTATTGTTGTCATATCTTTTCTTCTTTTCACTGTAATTATTTTACTTTTACAGGATAGCCTGTCATTCCCTTTAATATGTCCTGATTGGAATGCAGATGAAGAGTCATTGCTCCTGGAGGTAATATTTTTACTGAGTTTATTCTATATGCATCAAGTTTTTGAAATATTTTTTTCTTCCCTAAAACTTTTTCTTTTACTATGCTGGTAATATGAATCATACTGTAATTTTTTTTTAATCTGATTGTTGCATTGTGAGAGTTGTCATCTGGTTGCTTCTTTACTAAACATTCTTCATATGTGCAGGGGATTGAAATGTATGGGCTCGGTAATTGGGCTGAAGTGGCAGAGCATGTAGGAACAAAAAGCAAAAAAGAATGTATTGATCACTATAATAATATATACATGAACTCTCCTTGCTTTCCGCTTCCGGTAGTATAACTTTCTTCAACTAAATTTCTTTCCCTTTTTTAAACATTTGACTACAACCTCAATGTTATGTCTTTGTAGGACCTGTCTCATGTTGCTGGAAAGAATAGAGAGGAGCTTTTTGCTATGGCCAAGGAACATAGTAACCCTATAGGTTTGTGATTAATTATTACTTGATGATGCATGTAATTTCAGAGATTAAATATTCAGGATTGAATAATATTTAAAGGAGACATGACAAAGCAACTTCTAAAGTAAATAATACGCTATTAAAATTCTGACATATTTTGGGGAGTACTGAAAGTTTTTATTCTTTTTTGTGCTGTTTTGTTCCAAGTTTCTTGTGTTAAACATTCTTTGTGTTTGTATTTCTGATAGCTACTGGTCCAGCTCTGAAAGAAGAATTATCGAAAGAAGAGTCTATAAATCCTGGAACAGTAAAGTATGGCCTGTTTCCCTTAAGTTTCTTTAATACCGGGTTTAGGATACTGTCTATCTTCTTACTTTTAATGTCTGTAAAGGATTGAAGAACCGCAGAAAGAAGCTTCAGGTAGCCACTCTTCTCAGGCTGGTATGTGAATCTCAAATTTCTGTTCCTTGTTAATATTTGGATCTTTGCACTACTTCATGATTATCAGTTTAATTTTAATTTTGCTTCTGGTGTGGATTCTGCAACGATATGGGCAGTTGAGAAGCCAACAAATGTCCTTTCAGCCCAAGATGGGAGTATCAAAGTTGAAGGTCTGATTACAGAATACAGAGTATTTATCACTGTTATACTTGACAGTTCTTAGACATGTTCTTTGATATAATTGATTTGGTTGTGCAGATTCTCACCTCGACCGGAGTGTTGGAGAAAAGAAACCTAGAGCGTCAGCTGATGAAGGACCTCCAGTTACAGATTTATGCGGGTACAATCCCAAAAGAGAAGAATTTGAGGTAGAATATGATAATGATGCTGAACATTTACTGGCAGATATGGAATTCAAAGACACTGACACAGAAGCTGAACGTGACTTAAAGCTCAAAGTTTTGCGAATCTACAATCGGAGGTTGTCACTAACCCCTCCTTTCTTTTCCTTTTCTTTTTTTGGTATGGATTTGTCAGTGGTAAATCATTCTCATCCAAAATTTTGGCATATGAAATTTGCACATATCTATTATGTTTGCTAAGGCACCAACAAGGTGAAGGTGTTATGTGAATGTGTTCTGTTTCTAGCATCAATGCAGTTTGTGCCTTTGTGGCACCGGTGCTTTCCCTACTTATTTGCTTATAGATGTTCTGTCTGACTGGTTTGTGTACTTGTAGACTTGTAGTTCTTGTCCTCTGGTATGCATTTTCACGTTTTATTAATGACATCTTATCATTAAAGTAGGCTTTGATTTTAGTGAAGTCATGGAAGTTTTTATTTTGGCTGTTGCCTGATGGCTAGTGCAAACAAAATGTAAATATAAATAAGTCTTCCTTGTCGGACCTTCCTAGAGAAATTAACTTTACCAAATCAATAAAGCATCCCCTGCATTTTTTCCTTTCCCCTAGTTTCTCTCACGTTTAGTTAGATGAAGATTATTATTGGTTGTAAAAGCTCGTAAGGCAAGGTGCTTAGTGGGAATGACTAGTCCCACACCCACGGGCATCAGGAAGAAAATAGCAGCTTTGGTAGCATTCTTTACTAGACAAAAATTTTTGATGTTGATAATCTTTTTGAACTGGTACCCAATCAGCACATAAACTTATAAGTGGCATGGGTTGATATTCCATTCCAGGCTTGATGAGAGGAAGCGTAGGAAAGATTTTGTACTTGAGAGGAATTTACTGTACCCAGATCCTTTCGAGAAAACTTTGACACCTGAAGAGAAGGAATTATGCCAGCGTTATAGGGCATTCATGCGTTATCACTCAAAGAAAGAGCACGAGGAGCTGCTGGCATCTGTTGTTAATGAACATCGGATTCGCAAAAGATTACAGGATCTACAGGTCTAAGCTAAAATTTTAATTTCTTTGAAGTTTGAACATATACACATTTATGCTTTATTTAGTGGCCAAACTAAGTAGTCTGATTAAATTTACTTTTACTAGTTCTTGAACTGTTTATAGTTTTGGTGAGTCAAAATTTTCTTTCTGAATACTTTCCAATGAAGGATTTATATTTGGCTTTTATCACTGAATTTCTTCTTGTCTAAACCTGATAGATTGTAGAAGCACTGAAACCAGGAGTTTCGCTATATTAATTCCTCAAATTTATCTTTGAATTTTATATCTTGCTGTGGATTATATAAGATTTTTCCTTCGCAGGAAGCTAAGGCTGCTGGTTGCCGCACCTCTGCTGAGGCAGATATATACATAGGGAGGCAGAGGAGGATGGAAGCAGAGGAGAATGCCCGCAAACAGAGAGAGAGTGCTGAGGCTGGTGCAGGGGGTAAAGTGTTGCTGAGGAATAATAGAGATTTTGTCAGCAAGGACTCAGCTTCGACGACTACAGGACAGTTTAAGACCAACTCCCTTGACAAGTGGGATATCACTGGGTTCCCAGGGGCTGATCTGCTCTCTGACAAGGTAAGCTCTATTCATAAATTTTCATCTGTCCCAACATACAAGCTTTCATGTGCTCTTTGATGTGCCTGAAAATTTTACTATGGTTTTTCATGCGAACTCTGTTGCAAGGCAGGTTATATATCACTAGAGGGATAGTTCATAGTTGTAGGGAGTTAATCCTGTAACATGTCAACATTTTACTACCTGCTTCAATTCCGAATTCCTCCCACTGCAAAAAAGTAGGACAAAAAAAGAGGCAGGAAACCTTAACAGGAAATACAAAATTTGAAAAGAATTTATATCTATCCCGTAGTATATATTACCTTTATGCTCCAACTGGCATAATACTCTATTTTGGTTGTGACATTTTTACTCGTATGCAGGAGAAGAAGCTTTGTTCGGAGATTAGGATTCTACCTTCACATTATCTCAACATGTCGCAAACTCTGACTATGGAAGCATTCAAGGGGAATATTACCAAGAAATCTGATGCTCATGGTTTGTTCAAGGTCGATCCTAGCAAAGTCGATCGAGTGTATGATATGCTTGTGAAGAAGGGAGCTATATCTCAGTGAAGGCCTTGTATGTTCCCATCTTCAGTTTCAAATAAATTTCATTTAATTAAACCACAGAATCACAGTTAATTTTTCGCTGCCTAGGTAGGATAAAGTTTTTAAGGATAGACTATGATGTATGTCGAATTTTATTTTATATTATATGCGAACCACATTTATTTTTTGCAATCACCGTATTTTGAGCGCAATGGTTTTGCCAAAATCAATTTGCTATGAGCTATTTAGTATGTTTATATATGGGCAAGTTGAGTTGTAGATTGCCATCACCAATTCATGTGCAAGCATGTTTTTATGTGACAAATTACACTAATTTTCTGATAGATGTTTGTATGATTGATTTGTATGTGTAGTTTTGGATGACTTTTATATGTTGAGTACCTTCAATCACATCTATCCCAAAATTTTAAACTCTGACGCACAACACACAAGCCCCTTTATGCTTCCCTTCTTTTACCCCTTTTTTCTTTACTTTTTTCATAGCACACGAGGAAAATACGAGTGTGTGTCAAGTACACCCGGATGTAGGATAAAAAGTTTATCTTTCTTTCGATAAAGATATCTCATTTGTATTCATGGTGTCGCATTGGATTATTCACTCTTTTACATCTCCATCATTCACCCTTTGTTTTTGTTCTTTTTTTTCCATCTCCTTCTCAGTTTAATTAGGATTAAATCAATTCTCGATAGAACAAATCACTTCCGCCCAATTCGTGTTTAACATTTGATTGGAAAGAAAGAAAGAACATATAGTAACAAAACATTTGAGAGATAAGGACAATACCTAATGTATAGATTATGTTTTCCTCTACATGTCAAACTCATAATACATAAATTGCTTTAGTTTTCATCTATTAGGGACATTATTGCTGAATTTCATTTAACTAGTGAAAGTTTTGATAGAAAAAAACATAATCTCTACTCATGAACACTTATTACTATATTTATTTTCTAAATTTAATTGTTATACTTAGTACAATATATAGATGTGGCACTTTATAAACAATGAATGCACTAAATCAGTGTTCATAAGTGGTTAGCAGTTCGGAAATAAAGTTTTGGCTATTAGATTTTTTGGTTCGATGTTTGTGTATATCTTAGCCGTATTGTTTAGACCGGTTAACATAAATAAATAACCTATATTTGTTTTGAGATTGACAATTTATAACATGATCATGACTTTTTTTTAAAAAAAATATGTATTTAACCAAGTAATACATGTGTCAAATAATATTAGGGCATAGTGATTTGTTTGGGGCGAGAGGTTAAAGATATAAATCTCAGCCCCTCTTATGTATTCAACCAAGATCGGGAACTATCACCATTAAATTTGTTCTATAACGAGCGTTTTGAAACGAATCAAATGAACGAATTGGAGGAAGTATATTATTATTATGTACATACTATTATAATGTGCATACTTTTTTTTTTTTTTTTCAAGTGCTATATTGCCTATATGTATGTTTCCATTATAGACTCATTCTATTTGCTTGGCGTTGCTTGGTGCATGCAAATATCATTTTGATAGGCTAATACCATATCAATTTCTTTCTAAGTGCGGAAAGTAAAATTATTTCTTTTGCTCAACATCTCAAAATTAGACACGTCCTCAAATTATAAATACCTTTTAGTAGTGCATGTATACGATTTACCTACATATTTATTTTTGAGGTAAACTTTATAGTAAGTACTAACTATTTTTATCAAATTTAATTCCCACCACTAAACCAGTATTCTTTGTTGCGCATATTCTTTGTGCTATAAATAATAGTGACACTTTGAGTGCATATTCTATAGTCTTTCATCAATAATTCACTCTTTTTTTTTTCAAATTACAAACTATACAATTTCAATTCAGAGTTTCAGCAATGTCATCAGTTTCTTCTTTCAATATTGGTCTTTTCCTCGCGCTATGGCTCCTCCTAATAGCGGGTTCTCTCTTTGATCCCCTTTCTCGTTATAGAATCTCTCTCCCTGACCCCTTTCCTCGTTATAGAATCCTTAATACTTTCTCATTATTGTTTCAAACTACACCTATTTTAACGTGATCACAATGAAAACATTTACTTTAATTCATGATACAATTAAATTTTCCCCTCAAAAAAATGATACAATTAAACTTTGTTACAATAGTTTTAACATATAAATGCATGTAGCAGTAGTAAGTATATCTATATTACAAAATGACATCTACTTTTTAATTTTAATATATGAAAAAATGAAATAATTTCACTTCTCTAAATGACTAGATGATTTTCTTTTCACTATCATAAATTGTATTTGTACAACTAGTTCTTTTTTTTTTTTTTTGAAAACTTTGTACAACTAGTTATTAGTGTATCATAAATCGGTCTGTACGTAAGTCTATTATTACCATTACATGGTAAAATGATACGGAGTATAAAATATAATTATTGTAAGATGTAACCCTAAAAGATGATTCAAGTTATTTGAGAGGCCGGAATTTTACTCCACTAATTAAAATATTTGTGTTTTTGTTTCAGGTGGATTTTGGAGAGTTGAAAGCTCAAGAAGTTTAATATCACCACGTTGTACGAAACCAACAGATTGTATACCAAATTGCCCTCATTGCATACATGTTTCATGCCTCAGTACTTGGTGCGTTTGTGGCTGCGGCCCTCCATCAACATAATGTTTAATAAAATCATAACAAGCATTATTTCCCAAATAAAAATGATTCAATTTTTCACATCTTCTCATCTCGATCTTTTTAAGTCGAGGAATCATATATATGTATGTATGTATGTTGGTGAACATTGAATCTTTAATTTGAAACTTTTTACATGTGATGTTTGTTACGTAATATAATTATTCGCCCTAATAATATAAGTGAAGATACTCGTCTTATGCATTTTTTTTTACTCCTTCTGTCTCTATTTTTCTTTATAATTAACTAGATTATGTATCAGAAACAAAAAAGTTGCAACAAGAAGAACAAATAAAGCGATGAAGAGAGATTTTATTTTGTAGCTATGAAACTATGGTGTAAGTCCGCATAGAAAAGAGCTAAGTTTAGAAGAAAGCGAGAAAAAAAAAAAGTTATGTAACATGTACTTTTTAAAAAATATATACTTATGTTATTCAAAATATACCCTCCATCCACTATTATGTGCAATAAATAAATATTTTATATCTTACAAATAATAACTCGTTGCACAATAATAATGGGCGGAGGAAGTATATGAAAACAAATACTTATAATACTCCAAAAAGATAAAGCGTTAGGAATTCACGGTCGAATTTGAGGAACTTTGACTCCAAAACTAAATAGATAAAGCAATATATACGGACGGTAGGACTATGTGTGCTCCAGCAGTTACTTTTAGTTTTAGTTCATGAAGGAGCAACATAGTTATTACTAGAGACACACTATGACATTAGGTGCAAGTACTAGAGATTAAATCATTTCAATGAGCAACTACATGTAAGTCCAATCGACCAATCTATTAGAGTTTCGTCCTAAAATTAATTAGTAATAGGTGGACTAGTCTACTAATCTAATATACTTATATGTTATTCATTATATTCTTTGATATCTTTATTTCTTTAATGTAGACAATTAGTCTCAACTCACATGTAAGTTATTTTCCATAATATCTAACAAGAAAATTGTTGACTCGTATAATCACGAGTCATAAAGGGGTTGTAAAACTAAGGTTTGCAAATAAGAGTAAACATAAAATGATTTTAATTGAGCAATCTTTATTTATCATTCTTATTCATTAAACTTCAATCTTTCTCAACATCACATACATGTTAATTAAACGCTTCTAGCTAGGACACTAGATCAAGTGCACGAACCATTGAGCGAGCTTAAACTTCACCATTGTTTTACGCCAACCAAGTGTTTTGACAACGTTGTCGAAAACACACTCATCAACATGCCGTTTAGCTGAAATAATTAGAAGATATGCTTTGATTTCCGATACTTCAATGTATCCAGCCTTGACAACTCCTATCAATTGTAATGGAGCTAGTGTACGGAGTACTAACTACCATTTCGAGACAAACGTAGTAAGGTGTGAGCTCGATCAATATCATAATAAAAGACAATATCCCAATAGGAAAAAAATTCCACCATAACATATCAATCAAATAATAATTAAGTGTTTTTCCATAGCTATCTATATAATTTACATCATTACATGTCTACACATTTCTATGGTCTTATAAAATCTAATATTACAACATTCAAAGAATTTCCAAACACAATTGATCATCTCTTCTACATGCTCCTACAATCAACAATTACATACAAAATCGTTACAGAACAAACCAACCCAAAGAATAAAAAAGGACTATGCACGTTACCTATTGGAAGTTTAGATGTTGAAGTCTCGTAATAATAGAATACATGTCTTGCCAATTGATGTACATAACTATATAAGACAGCACTGAAACAAAAACTGCGGTAAAGAAGAAAGACTTCTTCGTTATATACTTATTCTTCATCTTGCTGCCACTGTCTTGCAGAATACAATCATCAGTGGCATCTTCATGGTTAGAAGCAACAGAATCTGTAGCATCATCATTAGATTTGGAGGATCCTGCAGTTTCTGCGTTATCACGGTCTTTATGATTGACAGCAATAGAATCAGCAGCATCATCAACACATTTGGAAGATCCTGCAGTTTCTGCTTCATCATGGTTTATGCAATTGGCAGCAACTGCATCAAATTTGAAAGACCCTGTAGCTTCACCTATGTTGTTCTCTTCCGATGGCTCATCTAACTGTCGCAGAAAAAAAAAAAAAAGGCATATCGATGTTATATACTCATTAAGGACAGCAAGATGCAAACACTTCAGAAATTACATGTATTTTGTTTCTCAAACTTATGATCTAGCACTTTAGCCACATCAACTTGAAACTAGGAATTACCAAGACATACACTAGCTTCGACAAGGTACACTCGCTAACTCATTTGTAGTAGCTAGTGTCATAATAATGACCATTTATTCTCATCCAATCCCTATAAAGAAAGAGCCTATATTGACATAAAAAAGTCCAATCTCACCCTCCAAGGTATGAGCGGGAAGTTGGAAAATCATGACAAATCTCACAAGTAGAATTTCAGATACACCTGAGGTTTCTAACAGTCCAGAAACTACAAAATAAAGAACAGGAGTTAAAATCTGATGTATGATTCCGCACCTGGTTACTGGCGGTGGTAGAAGTTGGAGTCTCCACTACCTCCTCTGTAGTTGAGAGTGCTGTGATGATACCATTAGCAGTATTATATATGTTAGACTCTATCTCTTTTTTGTCAACGTCACCTTTGTTGCTTTGATTAGCCTTAAGTAAATTTCTTCTCATCTTGCGCAACTCTTCCAACAATATGGTGTTTTCTCTTGCTAAAGAAGATAGCTGCAAAATTGGATTTTCATTAGTCATGTAATGTTTGGAAAATGCCCGCGTTATACTTGTATGACAGAAAAGAGAAATTAGTTTGCTTACCTGCTTTTGAACCCTCGTTCTTTCAGTTTCCAGCTGCATAACCATGTCAGTAATAAGCTTTGCCCCGTCGCTAATTTCCTTTGCCCAGGCTACTTTCATTTTGTTGGCAACTTTCAGACTTTCCACCAATTTTTCATTTTCGGACTTAAGATTGCCTTTTTCTTTGTTAAGTTCTATGTTGGTTTCTGCTAATTCTAGGCACTGCTTTTCTGCATTCTCCGCCTTACTCTCAGCTTTTGAGAACTTCGATTTTAGCTCCTCGATCAATGTTTCCATATCCCAGATTGCTGTGTACAGCATATTTTGCTGCTCTTGACTGGCATCAGCAAAAGTCTTTGAAGTTTGCAGTTTTACTTCCAACTCTCTCACATTTTTCTCTAAAACAGTTATCTTCTCTTCGTTGCTATCACCGGTTTTAAGGAAAACCACTTCTTCTCTGAGCTCTACATTCTCTTCTGTTAAAGTGGCTAATTTCTCTTCTGCATCATGGGCCCTAGTTTCTGCCATTATAGCGTGTTCTCTTAAAGCTTCAGTTGCGTCTTCCATCTCCGAAAGTTGCTCCTGACTCGCTTCATAACATGCATTCACTTCTTGTAACTTTGACTCAGAAGCTTGCAGCTTCTTTTCAAGCTCTTCTAACTTCTGCTCCAATTTATCTTTCTTTTTCAGTTGTTCTAAGCTATTTTCAAGCTTGGATTTCAACTCCTCTTCTCTCTGAACTGAGCAATGCATATTAAACTCGTAGATTTGGAGTCGTGACATCATTTCCTTTGCAATCCCCATAAATACCTGGGAAGAATGTTCTACTTCTAACAGTCTTTCTAAAGCAACTCCTAGAAATGCTTCCATTCCCGAGGCAACCTCATTTGTTAGTGAGAGTTCCGATTCCAGCTCTTCCTCCCGTTTTTTCAATTCTAGTAATCGTTTCTCAAGATTGAGTTCTGCAGCAAAAGATTTTTCCAACATGCTTAGCACAAGTCTTTGCTGCCCCGCATTCTGCAAATCATAATGTGACCTCTCCAAATCCTCGTTTTCAATCGAATATGCTGCAGATAATAGAGGATCCTGGTAAGTACAGAAATTTACAGTTTGACTCTAGTTTCTGCTTATAAAAATTTACTAACTTACTACTTTTCTCGCGAAAAGATGAGAGTGTTTTGTGAAATTTTGCCAGTTGCCTCTTCAACTCTAAAAGTTGTTCCTGTAAATGCTTCCAGGAATTTTCAGAACCCTGCAATTTCCCTTGGAAGATAGTAAATATATCTCTTCTTAGTTTAAATAAACATATCTTCTGATGTGCATCATTGATCTTGGCTTGAAGGACTTCTAAGAAACTCCCCAACTCGGTGACCTCGGAATCTAGATATTCAAAAGAAAGATCAAAGATAAGAGCCTTCTCAATTTCTACTTCCGAGATTTTGCTGTTCTGCATGGACAACTCTCCAAGTCCGATCTCTCCAAGGGAAACAATTGTCATATAAAGATCTAAGTTTACCAGCTTCTCAGAAAAGTATGCTAAATCCAAGTCCAATAAAGTTAGCAACTCCATGAGCATAGTTGGTTCCATCAAACCATTTTCGCTAATTGAAACTCCGTTGGATAGGGAGTTACAAGAAGTCAATATAGAATCAGCATCATCTACGCCATTGGATATACAAGGATCCATTCCCATAGGTTATTCTTCCTGTTTCACGAGACACCTACTGAGAAGGGCAGTTAAAAAAAGCCTAATTGGTAATCGCTATTAAGGACAAGTATTAAATAGTACAAACTTTTGATCAATCATATTGCACAACCCAAGAAAAATGATGTATTTTTACTAATCTAGATATGATAAGAAACAACATATTGGCTGCCAAGAAGTTTGAGCGGTGAAGTCTTAGAGGGTGGTACTCAAGACCTAGGAATAGGACTGAATCTTGTCAACAGCACTATTTTATGTGGCTCTTCGTTGTTCGGGGGATTAGAAAGAGAGGGGACACCGGGACAGTAAACAAGTTCACTACAGTCACTACCGATTCCAACATCAAATAAATATAACAACAAGAAGGGTAAACTTTAAATTTTCAATCAAATAGTGGATAATGTAGCATACATGACTCAATAAATCACAGTTGCAAAAGATTATGACAATTTCAACACCATTGAACAATTCATCACAATAAAAGTGCTTAATCCACCATTCCACCTTACTACTTCAATCAATTACTAGTTAATAATGTAGCATACATGACTCGATTCGCTATTGTAGAAGATTATGCCAATATTAATCAACCATTGAACTAGTCAGAAGTTGTTGCTAAATCAACCACTATTACCCTCAAGTCAAATCTGTCTAAAAACTTCAAGCTGAAGTCAACAAAGATTCCCAATCATCCAAATCTTAACCCATTCACAAACTTTA